AGCAAAGGGAGGCCTCTCTGGACAGGGCCCAGAGGGCGCATTTGGTTATTAATAGCCCGCAGGTCATGGAGCAACCTCCATTTTCCAGATTTCTTTTTGATAATAATAATTGGGGTGTTCCAGGGAGAATTGGAAGTTTCTAAATGCCCCAACTGTTCTTGCTCCTGTATAAGTCTTGTGACTGCTTCCAGCTTTTCAGAGGATAATGGCCATTGAGAGACCCATACCGGGTCCTCTGTATTCCATGGTATGGGTCGTGAAGCCTCAACGGCCTCTAAATAAAACCCAGTCCTTTTCCGCTTTGATTCCCTTTTTGTTCAATGGGCTCTATTCTACCTTGCTCCCTTCTGCCCAGGCCCCTTCCTGGTATATAGCCCATTTTTGTCATTATAGATGATGTCTGAGGGGAATACTCATTGGTCAGGGTCATGCCCATGGCTTGTAACACATCTCGCCCCCACAAATTTACCGGGAGGGGCAAAACATAAGGGGTAAAGCATCCCTGCCTGCCCTCAGTGCTCCACCAGACCAGGGCCACAGCACTAATGGCTGGAGAGGATTGATATCCAAGGCTTTGAAGAGAATGAGATGAAACCACAGTAGGCCAGGATTTTGGCCACCAATGCAATGAAATGATGCTCTTGTCTGCCCCTGTATCTGTAATCCCCTCAAATTCTTTTCCGTTAACCAATAGTTTCATAGTTGGTCTCTCATCTAGGGGTATGGCCAGATATGCTGAATCATTACCAGTAGACCCCATGGCTCTTTTTTGGGAGGTGTAATTCTCTCTATCCCCAGGGGAGGGCAGTAGCACTAATTGTGCGATCCTATCTCCCTGCTTTATGGAGAACATGCCCCGAGGGCTGGAGCGGAGGACCTGGAATTCTTTCTTATGATATGGATCTACGATTCCAGGATACACAATGAGTCCTTGTAAGGTCAAGGAACCTCGGCCCAAAATAAGCCCAATGGTAGCGGGGGGTAAAGGCCCCGGAGACTGGATTGGGACCGGCTGAACATTCATTTGGGGCATTAATAAGAAGTCGGAGGCGGCACACAGGTCCACTCC